TCCTGTGATGCAAAGCTGAATTTTCAGCATCATTACTCCAGTCTTCAGTGTCACATGATCCTTCAGAAATCATTCTAATATGCTGATTTCATGCTCGAGAAACATTTATTATTATTATCAATGTTGACAGTTGTACTGCTTAATATTTTTGTGGAAACTGTGATACATTGTTTTTTCTTTATTCTTTGTTTGTTAAAAAACTGCATTTATTTGAAACAGAAATCTTTTGTAACATTATAAATGTCTTTATTGTCACTTGTTCTGCATCCCTGCTGAATAGCAATAATTTCTTCAAAATAAAATCTTACTGACCTCTAACTTTTGAATAGTAGTAGTTCATATAATGTGTGAAGTGTATTTGTAATGTGCTAGTTGTAAGTTACTACAATGTCATTTTCCATCTACCGTGAAGTCCCACGAGCCGCTGACCTCTCTGTTTGAAAGGAAACACATGAATAATCAAAAGCAAGATTTCAGCGAATAGTCTATCATAAGCTTCAGTGACTTTGCCTGGACTCAGAGAGCGTGAACGACATCCATCACTCCCACCCACAGCACGATCTCTGTCTCCTTCTCAAACAATACTCCATCAAAACAAGACAAGTTAACAGTCACCCTGACGCTCGCACGCTTCAGGAGAAGAAAAAAACGGGGAGCGATAGATGACAGCAGAGAGGATGAAGGAGGACGAACAGAGTGAGTGCTGAGTGACACGACAAGAAGCCCTGAGAGCGACAGAGAAAAAAAGGAAAAAGAAAGAAACAGAAAAGGAAAGTGAAAGAGAAAAAAGAAAAGAAAAAACACAGAAAGAGTACAGGAAAAAGTAGAAAGCACTGAACAGATAATGTCTCTTTTACAGGAGTCATTTCAGTTAAAATAATGATAATAAAATAATAAAATAATCATTGGCTGATATTATAATACATCAGTTTTCAGTGCTATAGGGCTAATGTCAATTTAGGCATCACAACATTATAATGTATGGTATGAAAATCTTCTTAGTTATTTATTTTGAGATTTGGTAAAGATTACATTTAACAGTGTTATTAAATCATTTTATAAGAATAACTTTAAGTGAGTGACGGGGAAATCAAAGGGAATCTAAACACACTGGCAAACATCACATTAAATTAGGCCTTTTTTCAAGGCTTTATAGCTATTTTTGTCGAGGACCCAAGCTTTGACGTCAAAGTTCAGTGAATTTCATTGATGTTATTTGAACTCAAGAATACACCAACAAATCATATTCAAGTCCCTTTTTGAAAATGGCTGTCCAGATACGGTTCATGTAGACTCACTGATGTGCTATTGATGATGATTTGCTTCCGATTCACTTCTCATTGCTGTTTTTCTCTGCAGAAATGGTCTTTAGTGAGCATTTTTCGCATCTTTTTCAGTGCATTAAATAGTGAATTAGTTTAGATAATAAAATGTTAATAAAAAACTGAATGAACAATTTTTTCACTATGTGGCGCCTTCTCTTTCCAAGTTGTTAGCTAGCTATAATGGTAAAGAGCTGCTGTTAGTACTCATGGCAGAGAGAAGAGGGTGTTTGCAACCTTGTAGCCTGGAAAAAAATCATGTCAACTTGAGTCATATTTGTCTTGCAAGTAAATCATATAACGACTCTGACGTGGGGTCTACAGTATATGAATTTTATGATGGCGAAATGAATATGTAATGCTGAAAATAAAAAACTTCTTTTATAGATTGCCCGTTTTTCTTGGCAATCTCCAAATATAACTTTTACAGCATAATGCTGAAGATTAGCACCAAGGCAATCGATTTATTATGTGATAAGCAGTTTGATTCGATACAAAAATAGTTTATTCAGGCTATTAAGGCATGTCCTCCTTTGACTTCCATACAAATAGAACAGCCTCTGGCCCCCCGTTGGGATCCCACGGTGTTGCGCATTTTTGAACAGAGATTGTAGTCCCCCCTGGGGGAGGGTCTCTGCATGATGCTCTCGTGTTGATGATGCAAATGCACTACGGTTTAAATTAGCACAATGTGGAAAAAGACCCGCAAGGAGGGGACAGAATCGAACTTGCAGCGTGTAAAGTGACAGAAATCGGCACCCCTTATCAGTCAGGCTCTGCAAATGACCAGATTGATAAAGGGGGAAGATGCATTTCCAGGTTCAAACGATTCACTGCTGATGACTTAGTTTTGCTTGTTCCACCAGGCTACAGATGGCTGGACCTCCCTGTAGCAAAAACTGAGTTGCATCAATAATATCTCATTCATTCTTTTAAGCGAGATTGTTTACAAATTGGCTGAAACTGCAGTTTTTGGCGTCAACCTAATTCAGTTCTAAGCTTTCAATGAACCAACAAATTTGCATTGATATTAATAGTTTTCCATGTAATATCAAATGTTTTGCCTTCATTAACAGTGGTCCTGCACCATTAACTATGTTCATAATGACAGTGTAATTCAACAGAGTTGTAGCTAAAAAAAACACCCAGATCCATCATAAATTGAGACTAACAGAAGAGAGATAGAAGAGAAAGAGAGGGACAGAGATTAATTTAAAGATCCAAAAAGAAAGACAGGACGATATTGAAAGAAAAAAGGAGGAAAAGAAAGAAAAAGATAGAGAGAGAGGTGACAATACCTGCAGCATTCACTCCGGCTTCTTCTCAAGAGGATGAAGGGATGAATGGATGAGTGGATGGATGGATGGATGAGGACCACATGAGTGGAAGCACGAGAAAAGGAACAAAGAGAAACGATGAAAAAATGTGCGCGAGCGTGCGTGTGCGTGCATCTGAGTGCGCTCACTGAACACTACCAAAAAATAAGTATCGCGGAAGAGTATTAAAGAGGATTTTACGTAGAGAAATAATGAAATAATTGAAGCGAATGTTTTCTGGAGGGAAGGTGTGGTGTCAGATTGTGTTTCTGGATAATCAGAGGCTTTGCTGTGAGATGTGCCTGGTTAAATCCTGCATTACAGTCAAAGCCGACAGCAGATGCTGCTCAACATGCTTCTGCGATACTGCACTGGAGATCTCAATATACATCTCTATCTTTCTCACACGCACAAACACAACATGCTCGATTATGAAGTGACACATTCAAGCTGTTCCACCCACACACCAGGGATGGGCATTTCAGTCGTTTTGTCTACACAGGTACGCAAAAGATGAATCAGGCAAGTTCTCAAGAGCTTTGGAGGAGTGGGGAGGGGTCTACACATCTGTGTGTGTTGTTTTTTTTGTACGCTTTTAGACATAAATATGACACGCATTAGAAGAAACCGTTCTAATAATGGAAATTCTGTCATCATTTACTTACCCCCATGTCGTTCCAAATATGTATGACTTTCTTCTGTGGAACAATAAAGGGTACATTTTTGAAGGATATTCTCTATGTGAATGAGGACTGTGAGGAGTTAAAGAATGGAGCTTGAGAATCGAATTAGTCCACTTCATGAACAAATCATTTGGAACTGTTTTTTTTTTTTTAACTACATCAAACAAAAATATCCAACTCAAAAGAAGAATGATTGATTCATACTATAAATCGAACAGTGTTATCTCTCATGAAGAAAAGCTACGTTGTATTCTCAATAAATAGTGATTAAAAATGATCATATGCTTCAGAAGATACTGTAGATATAGTCAATTTTTGTCATTAATGGAGCTTGACAGCCGCAATTCTCATTCACATTTATTATATTCACCTAAATGTTCACCTTTTCTGTTCCATGAAAGAAATAGGTCATACGGGTTTGGATCAACATGAGTAAATAGTAAATTTTAATTCTTCTGTGAACCATCCCTTTAACTGCACACACTCAAAATTGATGTCCTTAAGGTCATGATCATACAGTGTTAGTGAAAAAACTAAGTATTGGCAAAACAATATATATACACTTTCATTCAAAAGTTTGGGGTCAGTAAGATTTTTTTAGGTTTTTGACAGAAGTCTCTTCTGCTCACCAAAGCTGCATTTATTTGATCAAAAATAGAGTAAAACTGGTAAAAAAAAAAAATAGTATCAAAGTTTAAAGTAACAGTTTTCTATTTTAATATATTTTAAAATATAATTTATTCCTGTGATGGCAAAGCTGAATTTTCAGCATCCATTATTCCAGTTCTGATAATATGCTTCAATAAGCTGATTTTTAAGAAACATTATTATTAAAAACATTTATTATTAAGAAGCATTTATTTTTAAAACAGTGTGGAAACCGTGATACATTTTTTTTAGGATTGTTGTCTTGAGTAGACAAAGTCTTTACTGTCACTGTCAATTTAATGCATACTTACTGAATAAAAGTATTAGTTTCTTTAAAAAAAGTACTGACCTCAAACATTTGCATGGTAGTTTTATTATATTAACAGTTTTTTTAAATTATATTAAATATTCTTATATTAAATATATAATGCCAAAATAAATAAATAACTAAATTTCAAAATAACCCCCTTTTATCTGATCTGTGCATGGTTGTTACTGGATTTTGTTCAGTGTGAAAACTTCAGGAGAGGGAGGGAATGTGGAAGGAGCAGAAGTGAAAGGAGGGAGAGTGGATGTGGGGAAGGTAGTGGAAGATGACGAAAATGGAGGAAGAGTTTCGTCTTCAGCAGATGTTGAAACTGAAGTTTCAGGAGAATCAGTGGGAAAAGCAGAGGATGAAGGGAGAGTAGAGGTGAGAATAAAGAGGTCTGAATCTTCCTGGTCTTGGAAGATGAAGGAAATGAAGAAAAAATATCGACAACAGAAAATGACGGATGGAGAGGTGGATGATGGATGGGAAGGAAAATGGAAGAGGAAATAAAGAACACGTCATGCAACAAGAGAAACAAAAAGAAAGGAACGTAAAATTCAGAAAAAAGAGATGTGAAAGTAAACGTAAAACAGCAGAAGAAATAAACAATGACGAAAACACCCATTCTCTCCACTCCTCGTTTGTCTCTCGTTAATTACCTTGAACCAGAAGGGTGTGCGTTATGTCCCCCATGCCGATCCCGTTATCAGCCTGGCACTCATAAACACCATTATCCGACTTGTTGAGGGATTCGAAGCGCAGGAACGCACCATCCACCTTTGCCAGCGGGGGGAGCTCTGCGTCTTTTCTCCGCCACACAAACGCAGTCGGCCTTAGAGAGCGAGAGATTACATTACAAAACGGACCACATATACAGCGTTTTGAAATTTCACATCAAAAGCAAAGCAGAAAGAGTCGTTTAATTGAGCAGATTGAAGGGTTTTGTAATTTGGCACACTATCAAAAGAGCTGAGGAGCACAGAGGGATGCGCTGGAAAGCGTCCCGAACACAGCGAAGCTCAGTCACATGTCAAGTGAAACGAACCAGACTTGATCAAATGGGAAAGTAAACCATGTGGCCAAACCACCAGTGCTGCGACACACCTGACCCGGAGGCTCTTATGAATCAACCAGACAACAAAACGTCCAGAAATAGCTGCTATCGTTCAATACAATCAGGAATAAAAGTGAATTTCTGGGTGTGGGCTACTACAAGCGTGGTGGGATTTGGGACAGGGCCAATGATTGTGTTCAAAAGAGATTTCCTAAACACTCTCTCTGTTTTTAATTGGTTAACCAAACTGATAGCCCTGCCCCTCCTTAAAATCCTGCCATTGGTTGAGCCAGTGTGCTGATCTGATACTCAAATGAACAAAGAAATGTTTTGATAGTGCCACAGTGTTCTCACTTCCTGAGGACGTCTACCTACTGCTGGGATAAAAGAAGGTATTTTAGCATAAAAAAATTACACACTTCACCTTTAAAATCCTCTCAATATGCCAAAGTAACTGTGGCTTTCCTCTGTGTGCTCATACCGTGTCCAAATCAGCGTGTCTGTGTGTGTTACAGGGATTTAGAGAACCACGGTGAGGACGAAGGCGTATCATTATTTGAGCGTGCGAATAATCCAAATAATATAATTCCTTTATTGATGTTGATAGAGCGGTGTAGTTATGACTAAACTAATATCTCAGTCTACCTGCAATTGTCAGACTCTGTTCCATGTTTTGTCTGTGTCTTGCTCCCCAGGTGTTCCTTTCCCATGTTTAATGTGTCCCAGGTGTTCCCCATGATGGTTTATTGCTCCCAGGTGTGTCTCGTCATCCCCTCCTCCTGTGTGTGTGTATAAAATGTGTTCCCAGTCCCAAGTTCTCGGTCCGCTGTTGAACGTCTTCGTGTGAACATCTTCCTGTGTTCGTCTCCCTTGGTTCCTTGGTGCAAATAAAGTCTTGTCAACATATTCTCCAGCGTCTCCTCGTCCCTCGTGTGTGTGCAACGTGACAGCAATACAGTAAGACAGGAGTTATGAGAGGTAGCGTTTCACACAGAGACGGGCTTATATATGATAGTGACACAAAGAACTGTTTTATTTTTTAATATTTAAAATGTAATTTATTCCTCTGATGGCAAAATTTTCAGCAGCCATTACTCAAGTCTTCAGTGTCACACGATTCTTCAGAAATCATTCTAATATGATGATTTGGTGCTCAAGAAACATTTATTATTATCAGTGTTGAAAACAGTTGTGCTGATTAATATTTTTGCAGATGGTTTGATGAATAGAAAGTTCAAAAGAACAGCATTTATTTGAAATCGAAAAACACTTTAAATGTTTTTACTGTCACTTTTGATCAATTTAATCCGTCCTTCCTGAATAAAAGCATTAATTTCTTAAAAAATAAATAAATAAATCGTACTGACACCAAAAGTTTAATAATTCAAGTGCAGCAAAAAATCAAAAGATCATTAAAGACCTAAATGCCGCCTCTGATACTACAGTTATCTTCACATACGGCCCCCTATTTGTTCTCCCGTTCCAGTAAGGAAGAGATAGAGTGTAAAAGCAAATGAGAAAATGCGACAGAGAGACTATGGGATGTCTAAATGGGGTTGAATAGCCCTCGGTGTGGTACTAATGGATCTCAGGAGCAATGAGCTGTAATGCGATCCTGCACCAGTAGAGGGTGATATTCAATAACAATATCGTCTATTTCCAGGGAGAAATATTTATGTGATATAACCAGGCTTAAGTAGTTAAAAATGTAATAAATACATCTGAAATAATAACATTTCATCCTTTAGCTCCAGAAAGGGAGTTGCTGAACTCACTGAGATCATAGACGGTGTGTTTTTAAAACAAGCCTATGTAAGGACCTCTCCGATCCCTCTCTCTGTTGTTTCTCATGTAACATCAACACAAATTTATCGGTGATACTGTCAAACCAAACCCCGCATGTGTGTGTGTGTGTTGAAGAGAGAAAGGAGATCAATAGGCTGACCATTTTCAGCTTCATACATAAAACATGAATGTCAAGGATGGAAATGAGAGAGAGAGAGTGTGTGTCTTACTCTGGATTTCCGTTCCCCACACACTGCAGGAAAAACTTCTCTCCTTCTCTGGGCAGGTCACTCTCTGGCTGAATCGACATGCTTGGAGAAACTGAGAGACACACAAACAGACATTTTGTTTTTGTTATCTTCATGTTAATGTATTACACAGAAGGGGTAGGTGGTATGACCAAAGCCTAAAATCACAGTATGGCTAATATTATAATCACAGAAACTGTGCTGAAAATGTAAGACTATAAAAATTTTTTTTTTTTAAACGCGCGCACACACACACATATATGTATATATGTATATATATATATATATATATAATGTATATATGTATGTATATGTATGTGAACACACACACACACATATATATATATATATATATATACTGTATGTATATGTAAGTAAACACACACATACATACATACAAACATACATACATATATACATACACACATTTTCACCGGTTCAATCTTATAATCACCGAAATTGTGCTGGAAATTCAACTGCTCGTTAACGCAAATCTAATCAGCCCATCGCATGGCAGCTACTCAATGCATTTAGGCATGTAGGCATGGTCAAGACAATCTGCTGAAGCTCAAACAGAGTATCAGAATGGGGAAGAAAGGTAATTTAAGTGACTTTGAATGTGTCATGGTTGTTGGTGCAAGATGGACTGGTCTGAGTATTTCAGAAACTGCTGATCTGCTGGGATTTTCACACACAACCATCTATAGAGATGATAGAGAATGGTCTGAAAAAGAGAAAATATCCAGTGAGCAGTTCTGTGGGCGAGAATACCTTGTTGATGCCAGATGTCAGAGGAGACTGGCCAGACTGGTTGAACTAATAGAAAGGCTACAGTAACTCAAGTTAACCACTCGTTACAACCAAGGAATGCAGAAGAGCATGTCTGAAGGCACAACATGTCGAACCTTGAAGCAGATGGGCTATAGCAGCAGAAGACCACACCTGCCACTCTTGTCAGCTAAGAACAGGAAATTGAGGCTACAATTCACACAGGTTCTCTAAAATTGGACAACAGAAGACTGGGAAAAAGGTTGCTTGGTGTGACAAGTCTCCATTTCTGCTGTGACATTCAGATGGTAGGGTTGGAATTTGGCGTAAACAACATGAAAGCATGGATCCTTCCTGCATTGTATGAACGGTTCAGGCTGCTGCTGGTGGTGTAATGGTGTGGAGGACATTTTCTTGGCACGTTTTGTGCTCTATTACCAACTGATAATCGTTTAAAGCCACAGTCTACCTGAGTAATGTTGCTGACCCTGTTCATCCTTTATGATCACAAGTGTACCTATCGTATGATGGCTACTTCCAGCAGGATAACAAGCCATGTCCTAAAGCTCAAATCATCTTAAACTGGTTTCTTGAATGTGACAAATAGTTCACTATACTCAAATGGAAAAATAGCTTATATACAGTGGGTACGGAAAGTATTCAGACCCCCTTAAATTTTTCACTCTTTGTTATATTGGAGCCATTTGCTAAAATCATTTACAGTGCTTAACAAATTTATAAGACCACCACCGAATGTAAGGTTTGTGCCACAGCTGCCCTAAACTAACATTATTTGGTGATTACCAAATTATTTTTTTATGTTTCTGTAATGTGTAATAAGTATGTGTAAGCTCTTTAGTCACAGTAGTATTTCTAATGCTAAAATATAATTGTAGTTATCCATACATTTTCAAATTTACTGTTTTACTAGAAAGGCAGAAAAAATAGTAAAGCATTTTCTTTATAACTTTTTTTTTATTCAAAAGCCCATTTATTTACTTGCAGTCCTTAATAGAAAAATACGTTTTAATGGTTGAATGTTATGCTTGATTTATTTCTGACTTCTGAGAGAAGCTGAATATGCCAGCTCAAATTTGGGTATAAAAACGTGAACTCATAAAGACTATTATTTAGTTGTTTCCGTTTTTGATTTGCCTATTAAATGACAATAAAAAATTTTGTTTTAAACAAGTTTCTGACAGATTCCTAAAATATTTGTGTTTTCTCTTATGACAGGTGGTCTAACAAATTTAAGCACTGTTTATGGCATATGTGTGTGTGTGTGTGTGTGTGTGTGTGTGTGTGTGTGTGTGTGTGTGTGTGTGTGTGTGTGTGTGTGTGTGTGTGTGTGTGTGTGTGTGTGTGTGTGTGTGTGTGTGTGTGTGTGTGTGTGTGTGTGTGTGTGTGTGTGTGTGTGTGTGTGTGTGTGTGTGCATTTGATATATTTAATAATCTGGTAAATTAAATACTTCAGAAGTGTAACATTTTATTTTTGTCATTTTATATGGAACTTAATGTATGCACACAAAATAAGATTATTCATAACAACTGAATAAATCTGGAATCAACACCAAAACATCTGCTTCAGATTTTTTTTTAGCACTTGTTTAAAACCTTCTAAAAACAGTGATACATTCTAACATTGTTGAGGCTCAAACAAGAAGATGGTGCCAGCAACACCAAGGTCATGGGTTTGATTTCTGGGAAATGCATGAACTGATCAAACATATATTTTAATTGCAATGTCAATGTCACTAACTAGGATTGCATGATTTAAAATTTGAAGCTGTTGTAAAATAGGTGATAAAAGCAGCCGTGATGGTGTGAACGCACATCGGTTGAATACTATATTAAGGTGGCATGTTATGATATTGTATGCAAGCTTTAAGCAACCTACAATTACACAGTATTCACAACTTATGTAATAAACATGAAATAACTAAAATCAAGTTGTCTATGCTGGAAACTTTACAATTTTATATGTATAAACATAATAGCAGAATGTCTTCTGGTTGACATTTCTAAAATCACACAGTAGTAAGCGTTCTGGCTTTTGTATGTGTGTCTTACACAAGACGCTGAGGGGCTGCTCTGTCCTCTTGTCTCCATTGGCAATGGACGGGTGATCCACCGCACAGGCGATCAGAGCGTTGTTATCGTTTCTGGTGACAGTGAGGGTGAGCTCGCTGGTTACTGTGTAGGTCGGTTCATCAGGGTTGGACTCCACAACATCAGGACGCCCTACACATGCACAAACACAAAGTAAACACTGTAATTACTGAACAACAACAGTTTGGGTTCAGAGCAGAATTCTGACTGTGTGTGTGTTTGTACCTTGTATCTCCTCTTGATCGCGGTACCAGTGTAGTTTAGCAGGAGGTTTGCTGCCTGAACTCGTGCAGGTGAGAGTAAACTTGCCGCCCTCCTCAACAGCATCATCAAAACCTGTTATCACCGGCTTACCTGGAACACCTGTGAGAGAGAAACAGTTGTAAAATAAAAACAAAACATTTTCAAGTGCAATTTAAGGGAAATAAGGGCATCGCTGGCTAGATAAAATGTAAATAAAATAAAAACAGTTCTGCTCCTTAAGCAGCGGCTCACTATCAGCAACTAGCTACTTGTTAGTAGGCCTACACGGAATTTGCACCGAATGAAATCTGCTCTGTATACTTCTGCAGAATTCAATCATCCATCATTCACACCCCCCCGCCCCTCGCATGTTCTTTTATATAATAATTTGGCAAATTGTACATTTTTAGCTGCCAAAAAGAGTACAGTACTTTCAGCTCCGTTTAACACATTTTACCATATTTAAATCAATTATGTATATTTTCCCCCAAAACCGGTACAGAAAATGTGGAGAAGTGTGCAGGTTCCGCGTGGGCCTGGTCACATCAAACATGCTTACCAGGAGCGGCTGGTGCTTTCAAAAGAGGTGAAGCACAGATGTCAGTTATCAACGACAAAATGTGTAACTGGATATTTAATGATTTTGGTGTGGCTCCCAAAATCAGCTGCTAGCAAATATCACAAGACTGTGCACTGCAAAATAATGTGAAGAAAGCATCGAGTTGTCCTCTTGAGCTACACACAAAAATACATGACCATCATACAGCATGACCAGTGTTGGAAAGAAACTAGTTACATGTAACAGAGTTACATAATTTATTTACAAAATAAATAAATGTAACTGTAATGAAAATGTAAATGTTACTGAGAAAAAAATGTGTAATTAAATTAAAATGTTAACAATTTCAAAGGGGGTTACATCTGAATATTTCCACACACATACAGATTTAACTGATTTCTTTCCAAAAAAACCCCGCATTGACTGCTCTAAAATATGAGACACTGATGTTTCAGGAGTTTAGGACACAGAATAGGACACATGCTTATTCGATAACTGTTTTATTTTCTATTTGGGTTTATGTATATGCTTTATTTTTTTAAGATTGACTTTTTTTCAAGGCATTGTTAGATACCAGTGTTTCCGGTCATAGCTATGCAAATATTTAAAATCAGTATTTAACCTCAGAACAATCTCAAAGTAAAAAAGAGGTGCTAAAGTCTGATTTTGTGGTGGCTTAATCTTCAAGTGATGAAGGATTTTGAAAGTCGGACAGTAATCAGTGTTGAGCACTTCTGTAAGTTTAACCCTGCCTGGTTTACATGTCTGAAAATGAATAACAGTTGAAAACATTCATTTGAAAAAGTAATCAAATGTAATCAGTTACTTTAATAAAGTAATTGGAATAGTTACACTACTTATTACATTTTAAATAGTGTAACGTGTAGTCTGTAACCTATTACATTTCCAGTAACCTTTCCAACACTGAGCATGACCAGTGTAGTCTGACTCATAAGCAATCAATTAAAAAAAAACTCAGGCGTTATTGGTTTGAATCAGGCTGACGAATTTTTCACTATATGAACTCACTGATAGATAGATAGATAGATAGATAGATAGATAGATATTGATAGATTGTTTAAAAATGGCAATGTTAAATAACAAGATTCTAAACTTATTTAAATATTTTACAACAGCAACTATGTCTGTCTTCCGGCTGTGTTTGATTGAATGTTTTAATTTTCTAATGGTGTCAGATGCATCACCATTTCAATGATTGAACATTTGTGGCTAAAACACCACTTTGAGAGCGCTCATAAACATCTAATAGAAAAAGCCTTGCTTTCAGATGGCACAAAATATATTAATTGAAAGGCCATTAAACAAACAGATTTTTTTCTCATGCTAAAGGCACCCATGATAGTCTCACTGACTTTCAGTGAAATACGAGAAGAGGAATGAGGAATATGCTAAATATAGGGTTAATTCAGGATGACTGGGCCATTTTTTCCCCAGTCATCTTAATGGCTAAGTGCCTCAATTCACCCAAATTCACCCTATATCAATCGCAATTTCCACTGATTCCTAATATCCTGACTCAAAATGCAAACTCACACATACATACCCAGTACAGTAACTGTGGCTCGTGCAGTCCGTACAGGCATGGTGAAAATTGAACAGGTGTACTCTCCATCATCTGACAGCTGAACATCCGAGATGGTGATTATCAGCTCTGTGGCCGTGGACTTTACCAACTGGATACGGTTATCTCTCAGTGCTGAAAAAGACAGAGCAGATAAGAATAACACATACACTACATAGGTGTCATATACTACAATTTTTAGCATTTTATTTTCCCCCGAAGTCCACTGATAACGTTAGTCAAGGTGTGTAGCACCAAAACCATTGTGATTAGGATTTATATGATTACTTTCCACCATCTCTCCAACTCTTCCATTTTTTTGCTATATCAGGCTTGTTTTTTGTATTTAAAAAAGCACAAGCAATCTTATGTGTGCAAACCTGATTCACACTACATTCATTTGAAATCTAGTTAAATTATGAATTTTTTTTTTAGTCTAAAAGGTCACTAATTTTCGCTTACTCTTTCCTCATCTAGCAAACCATGTGGCGGTTACTATCTCACGAATAGTGAACTAAGTATAAAAGGTCAGATCAGATTTCAAAGCCGTTTTTTGCCCGTTATTTAGAATCAAGTGTTGAACATCATACAGAATGTGCAATATCATCTGAATACATTCATTTTCGCTTACTCTTTCCTCATCTAACAACCCATGTGACGTTCACTATGTTGTGAATAGTGAGCGAGTCAGCAGTTTTGGACCCAGTATACTGTATGCATGAATGCATAAAATGCCTCTGTTCTCTTACAGATCTTGTGAGTTCAGCACCACAGCGGGATGACAGACATGAGTAAAGGCAAAGTTTTCAGTTTTCTGTGCTCTCTTTCCAGTGACAGCTACTCTCCGTTGTTGTATGCGAAAGTCTCTTGGCATCGTGCTGATTCTGACATTATTACTATAGCAACCCATGTAGATACACTAGATACTGACTACACAGACTTGCAGACAAAATGACAGCGTAGACAGTCAGTCCTCAGATTAGGTTTGTGTGCAACCAAGCCTTGGAAATTACCAAGATGCACATTAAGGAATTCTGTATGTAAAAGACCTCTGTTCTGATTGGCTAGAACTGTTGTTGATGATCAGAGCAAGGTAAGCGATGAACAATTTTATATCAAAAGGTTAAAAAAGTCCGTTAAAAATAAGCTAGAATTTAAAAAATAAAGCATGTCTGTAAGCTTTAAAGTCATCTATATGTTAATGTAGTCCTAATTGTTCACTTTAACAGATTTACACATTTAAATACAGCCTTTCTCTTGTTCTCTTATATGCTGTAATAGTATTTATTAATATTTTGAATTTAATTTAATTTTGTTATGTTCTATTTTTATTTTAATTTAGGTAATTTCCTATCTTTTTAAATTTTACAGATTTAAAAAAAATAATTGTTATTAGCTTAGTTTTTTAGTTTTGTTTTATTTCTATTAAGCTTTAATTTTTATTTCAGTTCATTTTTAGTAATTTTAGTACTTAGACAAACATTTTTATTTCAAAACAACATTTCTAAGTTTTTCATCTAACATTTATATTTTGTTTTGTTTCAGCTTAATTTCAATTAACAAAAACAATTAATAGTTTTAGTTTACAATAACAATTTCTCTTTCAGCAAAATGGAGCAAAAATATTGATGGCTCATCCTGCACTACACCGATTTTTATCCAATCATGTGCTCTGTAAAATAAGCCCCTCCCCCATCACTGGCATGTCTGACCAAACAGACTGGCAGTGATCAGGAAACCCTGTTTGAAAAGTTATTATTTTTGCTAATGGTGCAGAAATTACACACTTCACCTTTGAACAAAAGGAGAACTGTCTAACACAGATTTACAGTAAATGTGTGTGTGCTTCATGGTTTATCAGTAAGTGAAGGGCACTTAATTTGTCTTCATCAGCTGCTGTTCCTCTGTCCTCCATCCTGCTCTTTCATGCGCACACTCCTCCTTTGTCATTCCACCCTTTATCTTTTTTCGCTCATCCACCCATCCATCGTTTCTCCACACTAATCTGTTCATCTCTTCTCACTGGTGCGTATGTGCGCGTCTCGCGTTCTCCTTTTAGTGTGCTCTCTCTCTCTTTTGTACACTACAAAAACACATTTTTTTTAAACAGTATTTTGATTTTCTTTTGCAAATATCTAAACATCCTTCAAACAAGATAAATTTACTTGAGAAGCAGATAATGAGATTTGTGTTCAGAGAATATATCTTGAATCAAGTTTATATCTTACCCAATTTGTTTTAGCTGGATTTATACTTAAAGTTTTAAACTTAAAGAAAAAAATTCTTCATTGGAAATTTTTGTAAACACATCTTTGATCCACATTAAAAAGTCCCTTTAAAATATACATTTATGTAGCTTTAAAGGGTTAGTTCACCCAAAAATGAAAATTAGCCCATAAATTACTCAATTACTCCGGGGGGTGAACAAAGGCCTCCTGTAGCGAATCGATGCGTTTTTGTAAGAAAAATATCCATATTCAAAACGTAATAATCACTTTAATGTAGCTTGCGCTCACTGTTGTACACTGGAAGCAGTTCCGGGGGATTGACGTAAGAGGTCAGCTTTGCGCATGCACCGCTCAGAAGTGACGCACGTGGAAGAGATCAAAACAAAACGGTCACTTATTATAAATACAAAAGGAGGATTTGTAAAGAAGAATGTCGGAGGATTTTGATATAAGCCAAGAGGAGACTGGTTTTCCTTTGCTGAAGTAAGGAAACTTTGCTTCCTTTGCTCCTGTTAACAAATGTTGGTTTTCACGAGACTCATGACTCGCATGTGCAAAGCTGACCTCAGAGGTCATCCGCCTGGAACTGCTTCCGTGTACAACAGTGAGCGCAAGCTGCATTAAAGTGATTATTACGGATATATATATATAATATATGGATATTTTTCTTACAAAAACGCATCGATTCGCTACAGAAGGCCTTTGTTCACCCCCCCGGAGCTGTGTGAGACACTTTTTTTAATGGATGGGAGCTTTTTATTTAACTTCTTTTGGACGGACGCATGCAACACCCGCTGAGTGGCATTAAACAGCTTGAAAGATCAAAGACAATTTTTAATATAACTCCAACTGGATTC